GCACTATACACTTTATTAAGGTGTGAGCTAAGAGAGAGTAAGCAGTAAAGTGTTGTAGTGCTTGTCAAACACTGTCTCCATATTATCTGAAGTTTTCCGCTCTGCAAGTTTCCTCCCTGTACAATTACTTAATATCTTGTTTGCCTAAAGGGTAAGTTGTGTAATGCCTTCCTGTTGCCAGAAACATACAGAGCTGTTTCTTGATGTAAAGCAAGTTCCAGTTCATAACTATTTGAAATTTTATGATACAGCAGTTATCAAAAACCCGGATTTCTGTCTAGAGTTAATGGTCAAGTTAGTAGATATTTCTGCTACCATTAGGAAGGAGTGTATCTACAATGCATTTACTTCATTTATTCTTTAATGGTTTCACTGAAATATGGTGACTTTAATTCACAATTAAGATGTTTACTGTGGGACTCTGATATCTAGGCTAAACCAGAGTCTTTCCCTTTTTCCTTTCTCTTTCTACTATACAATAAGCCAGAGGGAAAGTAAATCGTCCCACTGGTGGTAGGAGTGAAGCCAGCATTTGCCAACAGCTAAGATACATGGACAGCTGGTTATGTGCAAAGAGCTACAAGACAACCTAAACTTCAGCAGATCAACCAGAGCATTACATGTAATCTGGGCCTTAATCAGCAAAGGTCATTTCTAAAGTGTGCAGAAAGAGAAAATGCAGAAAATGCTGAGAAATCTAGTAGCAGTGCATGGGGGAAACAGTGTTACTCAACTGATTTCAAACACTATTTTTGTTTTGTTTTCAGAATCCCATCCTAAACTGGGAGCCCAGACAAGGTCTGATCTGGCAAAAGCTGTACTAGAGGGCCCTCCGCTGGCACAGCCCAGGCAGAGGACAATGAGTTGTTCATTTGCAGAGTCTGAAGGGGAGGGGAGGGGAAGGAAGAGGGCTGAAAGGAGGGGGAGGACAGCCAAATGCTAATATTTGAGCAAATGCTGAGAAAAATATAGAGTGGCTGGATCAGGTGTATTCTCGATGCTTCACTGCTCGTGTATGACAGGGCAGCAGGAGGAGCAACTCTTGAAAATCTACTTGCTGTTCTTATTTTAGCTAAGTATAGGCAGAACATCTTTCCTTTGTCTCCTTCAGTGTCTCTTCTTTGTGAAATTCCATCTGGATCTCAGCTGGTCAAAAAGTCCCTAGAAAAGGAAATAATTGAAGGAAGTTTCCTTATATTATCAAAATCACATTTAAAAAGTAGTTAATAAATAATTAATGTCTTTATAAATAGTCTATTGAAAGCAGAGAAATCAAATGACTGCATTCATACAGAGATCATAGTCAGAATCACAGACAATGAGAAAATACAGAAAATGTTTCCAAATAGCAAACAAGATCTTCTCTTTGCTAGGCATCAGCAGTGTCACAAAACTGTCATCTCCTTTACATCAACCTCCATGTAGTTTATTTATACTTAGAAGATGATACAGCACATGCATAACATTGGGTCCAGTGCATGAAACCATGAAACAAGGAGGGACAGAACGAGTCACCCAGCCTATCATGCAATCTCATTTGTCACTGCTCCTCTTTAACAAAATATGCATTTGTGACTCATCTTATTACATAATATTCTGTCATTAACTATCATTGTCTCAAATTTCCTCTTCAAAGTTGATAGTGTGACATTTCACCACTTTCTTTTTCTCTCCTCCTACCCTTTTACAGTGCCCTGGGGGCTACTCCTCATGTTATCAAGAGGTACCCTACTTTTGTCCCCCACAATTCCAAGTCTTATTCTAGCAGTGTATGTTGCTGGTCCTGTTAGGAGATAGGTACCAAACTCCTTTAAAACACTACTTCAATAAATAAGAATTGCAATGAAGCAAATTGCAATGAAAGGTTTACCTAAAGTGCAAGCAATTCCTTGACATGGCATTCTTTGTTGTCATCACTATATGTAGTTAAATAAAAAAATAAAATCAAGCAAACAAATGAAAAAAACTAAGAAAGGAGTCTGGGCTCTACAAGGGATCTGGACAGGCCAGATTCATGGGCCAAGGCCAGTTGTAAGAGGTTCAACAAGGTGAAGTGCTGAATCCTGCACTCGGGTAACAACCACCCCATGCTCTGCCCCCTGACGGTCTTGAGGCAGAGTGGCTGAAAAGCTGCCTGGCAGAAGAGGACTTGGTGGTGCTGATCAACAGCAACTGAACATGAGTCAGCAGTATGCCCAGGTGGCCAAAAAGGCCAATGGCATTCTGGCCTGTATGAGAAATAGTGCGGCCAGCAGGACCAGGGAAGTGATTGTCCCTCTGTACTTGGCACTGGTGAGGCCACATTTCAAGTCCTGTGTCCAGTTTTGGGCCCCTCACTACAAGAAGGACATTGAGGTGCTGGAGCACATCCAGAGAAGGGAAACAGAGCTGGTGAAGGGTCTGGAGCGCAAGTCCTATGAGGAGCAGTTGATGGAGGCAGGATTGTTTAGCTTGGAGAAAAGGAAGCTCAGGGGGGACTTTACTGCTCTCTACAACTATGTGAAAGGAGGTTGTAGTGAGGTGGAGGTCAGCCTCTTCTCACAGGTAACAAGTGACAGGACAAGAGGAAATGGCCTCAAGTTGCTCCAGCGGAGATTTAGATTGGCTACTAGGAAGAATGTCTTCACTGAAAGGGTGATTAGGCATTGGAACAAGACACCTATGGAAATGGTGGAGTCACTATCCCTGAAGTGTCCAAGAACTGTGTAGATGTGGCACTTAGGGACATGGTTTAGTGGTGGACTTAGTAGTGTTAAGTTAATGATTAAACTTGATCTTAAGGGTCTTTTCCAATCTTAATGATTCCATGATCCTGTGATTTCATGAGTCTAAATTTGTCCAGAACAGAAGTGTTTGGTACCCTCTGGATGGTGCAGTTTCTAAAAGCGTCCAAGACACCCCAGAAATAACAGGGAACAGTACACTCATAACAGTGTAGGTAAATACAATTGAATATCTCAAGTTGGAAGGGATCCGCATGGATGATCAAGTCCAACTTGCTCCTCCTCGCAGGATTACCTACAAATAAACCATATTTCTAAGAGTAACATCCAAAAGCTCCTTGAACTCTGACAGGCTCGCTGTAATTGAGCAAAGAGGAAGAGATGTTAGAAACTGAAGGAAACCTATTGCAAAGGTCTTGTAATAAAGAAGTTTCACAAGAAAATGAGCTGTTCTTACCATATGTCTTGTTTGCTTAACATTTTAAAGGGAAAATCTGATCTGTAGGGGCATTTTGTACTATCAAGACAGTTTTCAATTTACAAATAAGATACATAAAATTATAGGGGATTTTTTTTCTGCTGCTGCAGGGAAAACTGTTGCAGATGGTGGTGAGGCGGCAAATGCAGAGTCCTGCACCTGGCGAGGAATAACCCCCTGCACCAGTGCAGGCTGGGAGACAACCTACAGGAAAGCAGCTCTTTGGAGAAGGACCTGGAGATCCTAGTGGACAAGCTGTCTATGAGTCAGCAGTGTGCCCTTGCAGCCAAGAATGCCAATGGTATCCTGGGGTATATTAGGAAGAGCACTGCCAGCAGGTCGAGGAAGGTGATCCTGCCCCTCCACTCAGCCCTGATGAGGCACATCTGGAGTGCTGTGTCCAGTTCTGGAATCCTCAGTACAAGAGAGATATGGAGCTTCTGGACTGCGTCCAGCAAAGGGCTATGAAAATGACTGGGGGACTGGAGCATCTCTCTTACAAGAGAAGGCTGAGACAGCTGTGCCTGTTCAGCCTCAAGAAGAGACAACTGAGAGGGGATCTCATCAATGTCTGCAAGTATCTGAAGGGAGGGTGCCAAGAGGATGGAGCCGGGCTCTTGTCAGTTATTGTTTTATATTATTGCTCCTGCCAAGCAATAGGACCAGGGGAAAATGGGAGAAATTGATGTACAGGAAGCTCCACCTGAACATGAGGAAGAATATCTTTAGTGTGTGGGTGACCAAGCAGTACAACAGGCAGGTATTGCACGATTCTGTGCAGTCTGGTCTAGGATGATCCTGCTTGAGCAGGGACGTTGGACCATTATGTCCCACTGTGGTCCCTTCCAACCTTACCCATTCTGGGACTCTGTGAGGGCATGAAGCCATTATCCCAGGGTGCCTCAGATGCCGAGTTTCTGCTGTCAGCCTTCAGATCAGTTCTGGAAGATCAGACAGGATGCAAACATCTGGCCTCAGGTCTTTGACACTGCCCATGACGATGACAGCAGTTCTTGCATTGAAGCAGCAGCAGGGCCAGCGCTGCCCCAGCAGTCTTCCAGAGCCTCTGGAGCAAGGTGGCTGTTTCATGTTTAGAAGCTGGCCTCCCCTTGGAGCAGCATCTGCTGGAGGAACTTTTTTTTTTTTTTTGGTGGCAGGATTGGGATGTTGAAAGTAGCAAATATCCAGGGCATACCATTTTTGCTGGATGGCGGTGTTGGAACACGGGGTACATTCAGAAGCCGGCAAACGGTGGCGACTTATATCAGGGCTGTAGTCCTTGTTCCCTATCCCACCACGGCATCTGTGCGTTGCCCAGGAGGCTCTGCACGGCTCCAGGGATGGATTCAATGTCACCGGGGGGGATGAGGGAGGGGAGAAAGGAGGGAAGGAAGGAAGGAAGGAAAGAAGGAAGGAAGGAAAAGAAAGAAGGAAGGAAGGAAGGAAAAGAAGGAAGGAAGGAGGGAAGGGAGGAAGGAAGAGAAGGAAGGAAGAAAGAGAAGGAAGGAAGGAAGCAAGGAAAGAAGGAAGGAAAAGAAAGAAGGGAAGGAATGAAAAGAAGAAGGGAAGGAAGGAAGGAAAAGAGGAAGGGAGGGAGGGGGGAAACAGCCGTGCGTCGTCCCATCAGGAGGAGCCTTACATCGGGGTGGAAGTGACCTCACTGCCCGGGACAGCCGGATCCAGTGAGCGCTGGAGCCCCGCCGGCCAGTGCGGGCGCGCCTTGCGAGCAGCCAATGGCAGGGGCGGCGCCGCTTGTTGTCGCCCCGTGAGGCGGCTGCGCCGTGGGCTCGGTGTCGCCGCCGCCGCAGGAGGGACCCGGGAGGCCCCAGGCCCCGGTGCCCGCTCGCCCCTCGCCGCCCTCACCGGCCCCGCAGCCCCCGCGGAGGGCGGGGAGATGCAGCCCCCGGGCGCTCAGCAGCCGCCGCTCTACGCGCCCAGCAGCGGGGACTTCACCTTCGTCTCCTCGGCGGACGCCGAAGGTGAGCGCGGGGCCGCGGGTCGGGCCTCGCTCGCTGTCCGGAGAGAAGGGCTCGGCGGGGCCCCGCGTCGGCGGGCGGCTGCCGGGCCGCCGAGGCGGGAGGGGCCTTCCCTGCCCGGGTTGGTGTCGTGGCTGGAGGCGGAGCGGGGTGGCCGAGGTGGCCGCTGCCCTCGGGCCGCTGCGGCGGGTGCGACCCGCTGTCGTGTGCTCCGCGTCACGGTAGCACCAGCGTGGCACAGGCGGCCGGGGCGCCCCGTCTGTCCCGTTCTCCGAGAGCCGGGGCCGAGGCTGTGCCCTGACACAGCCGTGCCCAGCGCTGTCACTGACCGCTCCTCCCGCTCTCCCGCGTTGCTGGAAAATCACTTCGGTGTCTGTCGAAGATTGTGTCCTGTGTTCACGTTTGCTGTAATGCTGTGCCGTGGTGCCTGCGTCGTGTCTCGTTTCAGCACCGTCATAAGGGAGAAAAAGAAGCCCTGTGTGTAATTTAGGGGGTGAAGTATGGCCCGCTGCCGAACTGCTGCACAAATAGCGGTGGTGCACCAGGATGCCGTGTACATCAAAACCGAACATATGGGAGTCAACACTGGGCAAACTTATTTTTATCTGTTGGGCTCTCCCCATTTAAACAACAAGCATTCTGTTTTTATGTATGTATTTAGTTACTCATATAGTTGTGACTAGGGAATCATGTAAATCCTTGCTCATGTGTCCCACCCTGGAAAAGAATTGCTGAAGTGGAAGAATTACAGTAGAATACCTGTTCTTTGCTGCATTTCCCAGTCCTTCTGAAAACAAATACAAATCAACAGTTACAGTCTTGGCCATTGGGTTTTTTGTTGCTGTTTTGTTTGGTTTGTTTTTTTCTTCTTCTTCACCTTGGCTTGAAAAAGCATCCATGTACCTTTGCTTTCCCCTTGGAAGTATTTGTTGGGCAATGCTGAACCCAATCCAGTATGGCCACCTTTCTGATAGGTTGTGTTGAATCTGGCTCTGTGTTCCTTATGAACACAAACAAGGTGTGATCTCCTGCCCGTTCAAGTGTAGTCCTGTGTGCTGCACATACCTACTGTAGCAAAGGAAGACATAAGACATAAACAGCTTGATATTACAAAACTAAAGTACAGCACATTGCACTCCAATTTTTATGTTTCCTAAATCTTGATCCATATGAAATAAATAAAAATACAAGCTGTTCTTTCTCCCCATTTTATTTCCATGAGAGGTAGGAGCTGTCAGAAAGAATGCTGGAGAGGTGTTCTCAATTAAGTGGACAGATACGGTATAAAGAACAGACTGTTTGTGGTTTTGCCTCTTGTACTGTTTTTTAAAAATTAAGAGCCAAGACTGTTTTGAAAACTGGTTTTTCACAATGTGTGATTGAAATGCGGCAGCTGAGAGACTTATATTTTGCTTCTGTGGTCTTGAACCTGAGACAGCAGGAGTGAAGGCACCCAGATTCTCACTAGGAAGCATAGGAACCCTCAGTTCTTGGCAGATTTTTCAGTGCCCAGTTCCCTTCTGTTACTCAGCTCATTCAAAGCAGCCTATACAAGAGGAGGTGACCGATTTCCCCACCCCCACCCCCCCTTGATTTCTGCAGCTTCATGTCTTGCAAAATAGACTTAAGATCATGTTCATAGGTTTCACAGTTCAAAAGTGTACTTGCAGGTATCCACTGATCATTGACTGCTAAAAGGAGTCTTGGTAAATAAGATTAGTGTTGGAGTTTTCCTTCCTCAGGATGGATTGTTAGCTGTCCCTGAGAAAGGAGAAATAAATGGCTGCTTGGATGTTGTGTTTCCTTTGTTTGATGGCTGCATTTATGCACAGAGAGCAAGAATGTCTCCTTGCAGAAAATGTTGTATTGTAGCAGAAACAAATATTTTTAAATGACAAAGGGGTCCTAGTGACAAGAGAAAACTTCTGAGGCTTTCTCTACCTTAATGCCCAGCCATTAAGACTTTTTTTTTCCTCCCTCTGTAAACAGCAGAGAAAGGTTTTGTTTGAGTCTGGTGAGAACTCTCATGATTATGAAATGATTGAAAACCATTTGTGGAGAAGCTTAAATTTAAGCTTTAGTGGCCTAGCAAACTGATTTGGGAAGGCGAATTCTGATTAATTAATTGAGATAGTGAGTGATCAGTGAACACTTAAGACATGTTGGCTGAAGACTGTGCGAGATTCTGTCATATACAAATTCTGTTTCTATAAAACTTTGTTGCATTTTTAAAGAAGATGTCACAAATGTAATCTGTGACTATGGCCTGACTTACCTCTGTGAGTACATGTTTCAGAAGTACTTGCTCTATAGCTGGGTGTTTTGGAGAATTTGTGCCGAGGAACTTTTACATGTGAAGAACACACAACAGTGGAAAGGCAAAAAAAAATTTTCTGTGGTGAGGTGAAAAGTTGTTGGATGAGAAGAGAGTTTCTGTCTCTCATTATATTTGTAATAAGCTTTGTAAAAAAATTAGCATGTTTCTGTTTGTATTTTTCCTTTTTAGCAGATAATGGAAATCCATGGTGTCCTAAAGGAATAATTATTCCCCTCTTATATATTTTTTTCTTTCTTCAAGTCATTTCATTTATTTTCATTTTGTACGTTTCATCTGTATATAACTGAATAAATGAGCAAACAAAATTAATATTTATTGGCGATTTTGGCACAACCAGAACATAGATAAATTGCTCTTTGTTTTGTTTACTACTGTGGCAGAGCAAGATCATAGTATATTGAAGAGAACTCCTTGTATTTCTTTTTGGCTGGAGCCTAAGAATCTCTGACAATATTCTTTCTCTAACATTTTCAGCTGTATTAAAGGCGTGCTACAAATGAAGACATCTTCAGATATATTCCTTTTATGAAAAATGTCACATAGAAACAGGAAGTTCTTTTGCCTGAAACAATGCCACTATGCAAAAGTATGCTCCAAAGGAGGTAGAATATGTCAGAAAAAATAATCCACAGTTTACAGCATGTTGAGACTATTAGTTACTTCCTTTTGTGCCTTTAAACACTTAATGATATGGCACAAGTGGAAGCCTTTCTGTCATACCATAACACTGTATCATAAAACAAGATTCCCATCTAAAAGCTGAAGCCTGGTAATTTGAGACCTAACCCAACAGTGGTACTACTGCATTAAAACCACAAGTATGCTTTCCAATTATGTATCTGTTAAAGTATAATTTTATTCTGTAACTTTGACTATTTCATGGTGATGACCAACACATGTAGCTTTGTATGTATATTGTTTATCTTCCAGTACTTTCGAAATCAAATGGCTTTTGGCAAGACATAAAAAGATCTATATTTCTCTCCCTTTTTGTCTAAGATCTGAGTGGCTCCATAACAACTCCAGATGTTAAGTTAAATCTTGGAGGAGAATTCATCAAAGAATCTACTGCGACTACATTCCTAAGACAGAGAGGGTATGGCTGGCTTCTGGAAGTGGAAGATGATGACCCAGAAGATAACAAGCCACTCCTGTATGTTGTAATTATTTTGGGGTATCTATCTTTATTAGCTCTATAGGAAAAACAATCAATTTGTAGCCGCTCGTTGTCCCACAGCCTTTTGTTGTAACTAGAATTCTGTGTGACAGAATTGACCAATGAGTGTTTGCTGGTGCGAGAATGAAAACATTATGTTTCTCATTATGTGTTTAGTGTAATGAGAGAGGCTTGTTATTCACTGTCAGGGAGGAAGGAAGGAGGAAGTAAAATCAAATGTTATTAATCTCTATAAGTATAAAGCTTTTGTGGGTCTTCTGCCTTTATCTGTTGATCCTGTAATGGTTTAAAAAAATGAGATTGTATTCTTTCTATTTTTTACACTCTTGTTGCAAGTTTCTTAATACTGTCAAGGAATCAAAGGCTAAGACAATCCTGTGGAAAGATTTCTCTTAAGTAAATCTAAGCCAATTCTGTCAGTTACTCTGAAGCAAAAGCATCCTGAATCAAGGTTATTATAGTAGGGATGCTAGAACCAAGGTAGCACAAACTTTATAATCTTCGATGCTGTCTTTTATTGTAAAGCTAGATTAAAAGGATGGTAATGTTGAAAGACAATAGTGTCCTTGAAACCAAAAATCTCTGCATCCCTTGTTCTGTACACAGAAGTGTGATTGGCTGAAGAAAGTTTGTATCTTAAGATTACTACACTGCACAGTCAGGCGGCCTAGGTCTTAGTCCTAGTTCTGCACCTAAGCAACTTCATTCTCAGTGTCTCAGTGTTTTTCTGTGTGAATTAAAGATAATGATGCTTTACAAAATTGAAGTGAGACAGAGAGTACTCTGGAGGACTCAGATGAGAGTTTGGGAGAGAAAGGGTGTGTGGAGAGCTTAATAACGACACTGCTACTTGAGAAGTACTTTAGTTTGAAGTGTGGGGAAATAGCTCCTTGTGTGAATAAGTCTGTTTTGTAGACTTCTAGCTTTTAATTAAGAAACAGACTGGTGTATTGAGGTGACAACATATGGATTCTGTCTTTTATGTAACTTTTTGCACCACAAACCCCAAGTTTATGATTCAAAGACAGCTAGGTGTTCTAAGCTGCTGATTGCTGTAAGTGAGGAGAACACAACAGGGAAATGATCAGTTTCTGGCAAACAGGATGAATACGATAATCCTAAAAGAGAAGACAATCTGACTTTCCTGAAGCAGTTTTTGCGCAGTTTATGCAGTTTTGATTATTCACAGAACATGTGCCATAATGAAGTCTTGCAATCTAAATTCTACTAAGGATTGAAGGAACAGGAGCCAGCTAAGGAAAGTTCACCCATGTGGTGCTACACTGCAAATGTTTTGTTCAATAAAATGAGATTTATTTTTTTTTACTTTCTCATTGGACAGCCTATTGCCAGACACTCGTTTCCTCTTACAGCTACCTTCTTAGGTGAGGTAGATGTCAGCTTCATGGAAAAGACAGTTCATTCACATAAGAAACTGTCAGAAGCCCTAGACAATGACAAAGAATTATTTCTAGACAGCAAATATTTGTGTTACACAGTCTTCAGAGTAAAGTATGGGAATTCTACATCCTTTTTAGATGAATGGAGGAAAATAGGTGCTTTTCGTCTACTCCTTAGATTCAGGGAGAAAAATGTTTTTTACGTAGTAATACCAGTTCTGAAGTAGCTTCAGTAATAGAAATCCAAAAATTGCCATGAGAGACTCAGTGAGCACTATTTAATTTTTTCTTTTAAAAAGACAAATTGTGATGAATCATGTCTTTCCACTTATTTCTCACTTCAGCTTTTCTGAGGGAAAAAACCCACAAAAATCAAAGCCTTTTACAAAACCTTCATAAATGGACTTCACAGAATTACAGCATCAACTAGGTTGGAAAAGACCTGATATCATCAAGTCCAACCTAACTTAGGATATGATTCTACATTTTTCTTCACTGTACTCTTAAATGTAGAGCAGGATATCTGCTGGAGAGCAGGATATCTTCTAAAAGTGTCTTGCATTCAGAACTTCTCAGTCATGACTGAGGTTCAGCACATAAGGAAGTGGATTGCCCCTTACTTGCAAAGTCTGATTCCTTCCTATGATGCTAGGACAATCAGGGCAAGATCAACCAGTTAAGAGTCTCCTGGGCAGAATAGGGCTTCTGATCAATTTGTAGTTGCTTGCAGAGAGCATGTAGCAGGAAGCAGAGAAGGCAATGAGAGAAGGGCAAGATCTGTTGATAGATTTTACTGGTAGTTTAAATTGACTTTTATTTATTTTTACCCATATTGAAATCAAGCCAGAAATTAAACAATTGGCATAAACTGGTCTGCTGTAAACTGCTGTTAGTGAAGGAAGTTAAACTCCATTTTATTTTAAAAAGTTGGTTTTACCTGATGTATTTGGAGTGCTGTAAGATTAGTGAATATGATGGTATTCTTTCTTGTAGAATTTGAAATAAAATGTTTCCACAGTAAGTGTGCTCATGGCAAACTGCTTGGCATAGGAATACACAGACATCCTACTTTGGTGTATGTACGTCTTTGACTTTTAAGTAGTTACAGTGGTACGAGTGTGTTGTGTTCTTGTGTGTCAGAAAAATAGACCTGCTCTCTTAATGCAGTCTATTAGGATATTAGAATCATGAATGGTTCGGGTTGGAAGGGACCTCATCTAGTTCCAAACCCTCTGCCATGGGCAGGGACAACTTCCACTAGACCATGTTGCTCAGAGCCCCATCCAACCTGGCCTAGGTATGTTGTGTACGTTTTCTATTCTCAGTCATGTAATTTATTTTTGAGTAATGAAATAAATCTAACCGTCACACCAGTTACTGAATGTGGGATGAAGATACGGTGTTGCTTTATTGTAGACAAACTGTTCCTTCAGGAAGCCTTCTGGGTGACAGGAGACTTGCTCTATAAACCTACTAGATGCCCCGCACTGATTATTTTATGCTCTATTCCATTACTGTGGTGTTTAATAATGCTCTCTTGCTTTACAATTTCAGGGAAGAACTTGACATTGATCTGAAGGATATTTACTACAAAATTCGATGTGTGTTGATGCCTATGCCATCTCTTGGGTTCAATAGGCAGGTAGTGAGAGACAATCCAGACTTTTGGGGTCCTCTGGCAGTTGTCCTCTTCTTCTCAATGATTTCATTATATGGACAATTTAAGGTAGGTGTAGGTTTTCTACCTAAAAAGAAATCTAAGCTAAATCTGGGGATGTGATTACTAAGTAATTTGCATTCTTACGTAGGTAGAAAGCCTTTTTTTCACATACTAATGTGGGGCATTTCAAATGCTGTTTCTCAAGTTAATATGTAGAAAGACAGCAGTAAGAACTTTATTAAATAGCCCACGGATAAGTTAATCATGATGAAATGTCAGGTTTGTTTTTATACAGTAAAACAAAGGAAAGATGTGATTTCTAGAGGAACCAGATTGATACTAATGGGTTTATATTCATATTAGTGAATCTTTCAATTTTAATTGTGACCTTTTGTTAACTTGCTTTTTATTGCTAAAAAATGTTACTGAAAAGCATTTGTTTGGATGCCATCAATGTTAATTCCCTGACAAATAAAGCTGCTTGATTAATTCATAGTATATCACTGCTGTTATCTGCTATATTTAATCTTCATTACTGCCATTTGCTGTTTTGTCCTCCCTTCTCAGTTACAATCAAATAACTTTCCTCTGGTCAATAGACTTTTTCCATAATTCCTTTTGAACTCCAGGGTGAATAGATATTCAGAGACATTGCACATATTTAATTGGCCTCCATAAACACTGTTACCTTTTTTCTTTATGTTTAGATTAAAATAAAGAAGTGTTATCAATTATAATAACAATTTGAATGTAAGCCTAGGTGATCTTGCTTTGGAAATCTTTATATATGTGGTTACAGTTGTTTTAAATACAATGAAGTATAGCAATAAGCCATATGTAAGTGAGCAGAAAGTGCTTATAAAAGGATTTCTGTGAATGGTGGAATAAAATTGTCTTTGGGACCTCTGGTTTCTGTATGGTGTATCAAATGCTGACTAAGAATGCACCCTTAGTATCTTGTCCCTATGAGGCTTTAAGTGAGTAGACTAAACCGCTGTATTACTCAAGTCTTCTGGGTACTTACCTGTCTCCTCAGCAAAATAAGGACCATTCCTTGACCCCATGACAGATGAACTACCTCCTGCAGTTGGTGTACCTCCTGTACAGGAACACTAGGTCTAATGTTTCCTAGGAGCAGTGGATTTACCGTAGGGATGCAAGAGTGCCATATGTGAGTGAGGAGGGAAAGCCAGCAGCTAGCAACAGGATGACTGACAGCAGCTAGACTGGGTGAACTGAACAGTGAGCTGTAAACCTGGAGAGAGATGAACACTCCTGATCTAAGACTTTATTCCAATCCTCGTCTTTTAGACAGTGGAGGAAAGCAGCAAATAAAAGGAGACCATGTGCTATTTTCACAAATAGCATAAAGCCATTATTTAGGCTTTTTAAAGTGATGCTGTGATTTTTATCCCCTTTTCCCTATTTCATTCTTCTGGAAATCTGGAATTTTTAGTTAAGCAAAGTATTGGATTAAGTACTGACTTAATTGAGTACTGGAAATACAGAGACTGTACTGATGCTGTTGTTTACTTCTAAAAAGGCATTTCAAAAAGGAGAGCTTCATTTCTGGTCCTCCCAGTGACTGAACTCCAAAAATAGCTAAGTTACTTTGAAGCCAGAGAATGATTTTAAGGTTTCTTCTTTATCTTAAGAGCAGAACTATGAAAGAAGCAAAAAAAATAATGACAGGTTTGGTCCCAGGAGTCTAGGGCTTTTTATTCAGTTATGATCATCACCAAGTTCCACTGAGAACTGCAGTCCTTTGTCCTCTTTGAATAAAGAATAAAGTGGCATCTTTAAGGGTGCAAGAAGGAGAATTCCAACTCCTTGTATTGGTTGGGCTGACTTTAAAATCGGTCTGAGCACACATTATAATAGGTGGGATGTGAAGACACTTAGGGTTCTTTTAGCTAAACTTCCTATTCCTATTGCAACACTTAAAAAACACATTGCATTTGCATTTCATGTACACCAAATTTACCATGAATGTGATTCTGTAAATGTAACCTCTTAATTTTATTTGCAAATTGCATTGTGCTACTAACTAAAACTATTCTTGCTGCAATTCAGAATTCAGTTTTGCATAATAAAATCCTTGATTGCAGTGAAAGTGATTAATGGAAATGAGTTTTCCTTTCTGACAATGAAAATTATTCATATAAATTAATTGTTCTTTATCTCTTAAGGTTGTTTCTTGGATTATAACTATTTGGATATTTGGATCCTTGACAATTTTTTTACTGGCCAGAGTTCTTGGAGGAGAAGTAAGTACCTGTATGTGAAAAGGATGTAGAGAGAGGTAATGTAAAGCCTCTTGGTTATGTTTTTCAGCAGTAGTTAAGTTTTCTTAGTGCTTGGCTTTGGACCTTGTAGCCAGCTAAGGATGGATGCAGTTGGTAAGTGTAAAGTCAACATTTCAGGTTCTTGGCCTCCAAAATAAAATCTAAAATACAGAGATGGTCAGCTAATATTTCTGTGCAATGGATGGGGTCCTTGGAAGTGATAAACAACCTGGAAGTTTGTACTGTGAGTCCCAGAAATTCTAACAGCTTCCTGTGATCCAGAACTGGAGGGACAAGTGCTTTCAATTTTTTGGTCACTGACCTAAATGGGGCCCTTTCTCCTACTTTGCACTGCTCATGCACCATCCTTTATTTATTTTAATTTTTTTTTTTTTTAGTGGGGGCTAACAGCAGTTGTATGATGGCCTTGTGGGTAAAGCACCAGTGTTTGTTTTCATCCTTAGCCTGATGCAGTTCAAACCTGTTAAAGGATGAAAGCCAATGCATATTCCTCAACTGTAAAGCCAATTGAAGTTTGGGCCTGAATTCCTTCCTCCAGCTGCTTGCACCAGCAGAGTTGGAATAGCTGCTTGAGTTGTTTACAAATTGAGTCACTAATCGATTCAGGTGTAAACAACAAAAAATGACTTGGAGCAAGGCCCACAGACAGCTACAGTGGAACAGTCAGGAGCATAGAACTTCTTAAAATGTATCTACAGAATAAAATGCATTGAACTGTGTCATGAAGAACTAAATATTCAGTGATGATTGATTTTTATATTTTTACTATGCATCTTTCATTAATGATGCACTAGTGTTGCAGACTTACCATGTTATTTACTTTAAATTTTTTAGATTTTCCTTTTAATCATAATTGCTAGTCTTCTCGTGTGAACATGAAAGCTTTTATAAATATGATTGCATTGTATTTCTGCATATCAACACGATCTAGATGCCCATTAAATCAATCTGGTTTGTGGCTCACAGTGTGAAATTATCAGAATGTATAAACTGGGGAGAAAGTATAGGTCTGCAGAGTTCACTGTGAGCGATCATTGTCAACGAGAGTGCTTGCAAGAGACCACTATTTTTCCTGTTAAATCCAAGAAGCATAGCTGGGCCCAGGAACATTTCAAACTCTGATAGGGGGAAATCAGGCACTTCATTCTGAAGCTAAAAGTAGTTATGGAAATACTTTGAACGACGCTGTTCAAGATAGTCATAATAAATTTCAGGTGGAAATCAGAAGAATTCTGTGCCTTAGAGGGATCAAGGTCTAGGTCTTCCGCTGGCACCAAGAGCATTCATGTACTTTATGTATTTATTTATATATAATGGATATGAGTATGTTAATACAGAAAATTATGTCTTTGCTGCTTGTGACAAACTAAGAGGTCTGTTGCAGTTCTGTGCTCCTAGGTATCATATATACACTCCTTGGAGAGTGACAGTTGAGAACCACTTAAGGCAGAACATGAAAATATGAGGGGTGGATGGATTTACGTATTTAACCTGTGTAATACTTCCTTTGAAAGTGATCATTTACAGTGTCTAAAAACAACAACAGAAAAAGACAAGGTATTTTTAATTCTAGGAGGTAGCATACAGAAACAATTTTCACACTAGCAAGCTTCTATTAGCTGAAATTTCATGAATACCTAAGACATTATTATCGTTATTCACAGTGTTATAACAAGATCAAATTGCATTTGGTGGCAAAGATTGAGTACTACAAAGCTTATTTATATGTGCTTGAAAATTTCAGGTTGCTTATGGCCAAGTTCTTGGTGTAATAGGATATTCCCTACTTCCCCTCATTGTCATAGCACCTGTACTTTTGGTGGTTGGATCATTTGAAGTTGTTTCTACCCTAATAAAAGTAAGTTCATATCATCTATTGAGAATTGTTTGGTTAATTTTAAGTCACTTTCCTAATACTTCAAGTATTAATATGTTCAGGAAAACATAACGATGTGTCAGAATTTTTAGAACTACAATGTAAGCTCTGTGATCCTTTTGTTTAATGGTGGAAAGTGAATTTTGTCTTAAATGCTCCTGAGTGCTTGGGGATATACAGTGCTGTTGCTATAACAACACCTGTTGTTACTAGGCTAGCTTATATTTAAGTATTTTGCTATGCCCCAATAGTTGCATTAAAAAAAAAAAAGGATTCTCATTTTGACAAGAGGATGCATAATTAAACCTCAGAATGAAGAACCTGAAAATAAGCTGTTCTATCCCTTCCCCCAACATCCAGTTTATTTTTAGTTGCTCTAGCATGAATATGACATTAGTCATTGTTCTAAGACCTTCCCATAGTATAGCTGTACAAAGCTCTCAATACTCTTTGCAGAGAAGGTAAGTATTGTTCTGATTTACAGTTGTGGAATGTAAGGCACGAGAATAACCTGCCTGATACCACCTGCTGCTGGACACCTTTTATGAAACCAGCAACGTTCCCTGATAGAACTACATAATGTTCTTGAACACTTCCAATACTTCTTAAAGCCCTTCTGGGGAGTCTTTGAAGTTATTGATGAACTTCTGGAAAGGTTAACTGGGAAAATTCTGTTATAAGCTAAGCTGTATGCTTTTGGGGGAGTTGTTCTGTTGATTTGATTATTTCTGTCCTTCTAACTTGCTGGTAAACAGTATAATTGAAGTATAAATAAAGTGTATGATAAGTAAAAAAATTGCTATATTTGTGATTTTATAACTTGCAATTACTGTTAAGTGATAGTCAGAAAGTAAATCATTAACTTGCCAGTTAACTAATATATAACTTGAAAATAAATATATGTTAATGAAACCTCTGTTACTTGATTACTGTTACCACTCTTACGTTTACATCAGGGTGAATCTGTCTGAGGCTCCTGCCTTTGCACCATAAGTATGAAAATGCATTACAAACCCCATATGGCCAAAACTACTTAAGCTGTGACAAGTACTACTTCTTGCAGCTCTGTGCTTGGGGAAAAATTTCACAGCCCTGAAGTCGGGGAACCTACAGTGAAATAGGGAAATTCCAACCAGTTCTTTTCCAGTTGCAATCACTGCACCTCAATTGATTTAATTGCTGCAATTTTCCTAATGTATCGTAGGGAACTCAGTCTTTATTGTCCTTCTTGTCCACCTCTGCAGCCTCGAGTAAGGCAGCAAAACTAGAAGTATGCAATGACATGCAGTTTGGTAGTGTTGGTGGTAGTGGGTTAGGGGTTTTTTGTTGGTTTTTTTTTGTTTTGGTTTGGTTTTTTTACAGTGATTGTTAAATGGGCCACATGATCCCTCAAGGGCTTCAGCTCCTCTGACAGAACTGTGGAGAAAGTTCTTTGCTGGGGTCCTGTTCTGTCTCCCATTGTTGGTCTTGTATTTTGCAGAAGAGTATAGTGGTTTTGCATACCACTCAGTTTTAAGTATTTTTCCTTCTTTGTTAATATTCAGAGTGCTGCTAGAGGATAATAATATCTGATTTCTTTTTGCTCTAATCTTGTTAGTTTGAGGTTTGAGTCAAGTTCTCTGACTTCAAGACATTTTTTCTTTAAAAGCGTGCATGCTGACTTCATATAACTTAGTGGATATTCATAAGTGATATTACTTTCTACCAGTCTTTTAAGCTGCTTCTCCCTCAATTTAGTAAGCAATATAGTCTGTGATAAAGGTCGTATTTTGGCAGGCTTCTCACTGCACCTGAAAGGAATAGGAATATGAGGTTCAGTTATCTTGAGGTGGGGACACCATAAGTAAAGAAAAATTTATGAGCCAAATTAATCCTGAAATAAAAAATGTTAATTGTAACTCTCTGGTGTATGTTATAGGAGGAAATGTCAAGTATAGTAACTACTTTGCTTGAAGATGTGTGTGGGGTAATAGTTGAGGACAATCAAGGTAGAAAGAAATTTAATCCAGTGAGGTTTCAAATTTTTGGTGTATGTAAGATTACAGCTTACAGCTTGCTTTGTGGTATCTATATGTCTTACACAGAGAAAACTTACTGTAGATCCTTAGCTGCTCACTTCAGTAAAACTGTCTCAAGCCAAAATAGCATGCTCTGTTTCTCTAAACTTCAATGAAAATGCATAGTATAGACTTCGTATTTGTGTGTGTGGAGTTCTTCCCCCCAAAATCTTTTTTGGAGAGTTTCTTTTTAATTGTATTGAGAGTGATTTTTTTCATGGTATTTGGCGAGACTTTCTTGTGATGTCAGCTAAGACTGTTCATCTTCTTTTTCAGCTGTTTGGAGTCTTTTGGGCTGCATACAGTGCTGCATCATTACTAGTTGGAGAAGAATTCAAGACCAAGAAACCCCTTCTAATTTATCCTATCTTTTTATTATACATTTATTTTCTGTCCTTGTACACTGGGGTGTGATCTAGTGTAAGATGGGGCCAGAAACCATATTTTAGTCACTTGCAGACTGATAATGCGTAAGGTTGAGGAGGCCGGAGATAATACAAGTGACTGTTTTGTATCCAGTTGTCAAGATGTTTTAAGATCGAAGAGCATATTTGTGTATATTATTTAATGAAGCAATTGTAGCTATATAGATTTGTATCAAAGTTCTAGGTTTGTTTAAGACTCTTCAGATTTTAATGAACAAAATAAAAGAACCTTGTGTTTTATAATAACGCGTAGCAAAACCACAACTCAATACCTGTGCCAAAAGCACTGGGACCATATTACTATATTCAAGAAGAAAAAATGAGAAGTTAACTGTAACAATCTCAAAGTGCAATTTTTCTTTTGAGCTTAAACACAGCTGGCTTTTTTTGGCACAGCAAATTCTGTAGATAATATATATTTATGAAACAGTCCTGATTGTTCACAGAATAGTCTGTATAATCAAGACAAGAAGATACTACTTTTAATTTAGTGCCTCAATTACTTTGATTTGGCTGTTGAGTTTTTATAAATTCCAATTTGTTTTCAAAACATGTATATACTGTGTATTTTGTATCTATTGTTGTGTGTACCGTAAATACTCCTTGGTTAAGGATGTATATTGGATTTTTAAAAATTGAAGATACAAGTATTTGAAGTCTTCATTTACTATCTCTGACCAAAGGAGCAAGATATTTACAGTGTGGCATAATTAATTAAAATGCATATTTAGAGAATCAAATTATTTTACTTAAAAGTATAAATTTACAGAGAAATGGGTGAACACCTTTCTCAACTCTAGTGCTGGCTTAGTGTTGGAGAAAAAAGATGATCTATCAAATTTGTGTGATCTTTAAACAATGTTATTTTATGATGACAAAATAAAAATAATGCTTCCCTAACTATGTTTTACAACATCTTGCTCTGTTTTGCTTTTAATAGCA